CTTTGGTGCAAGGTCGGTGAGCAGATCTCCCCCCCCCCGCAAAATTTCGTTCCGCCGCCTCTGGTGTGTACGAACAAATCTGTTGCGACACCGTTAAAATGCAGGTATTTACATGGCAAATTACACGAAGGAAATATGACTTCATCCTGGTGAAACTAGAATCCAGCCGTTGACCATCGGGCATTCTTGTAACGAGCTCCTGTACGCATTCTAACGGATAAAGTTTACATCTCGCAAAGCTAACCTTCGCATACGCTATTTTATCTGCATATAGCATATTTGCTATACATTTTACCACTCGCAAATAACTCATTTCGCCCCACGCATACACCCGTTATCCTGGATGTTTTTGCCACTCGCAAAGAATACATTTAACCACTTGCATAGTCCTTTTTTGCCACTCACAAATGATACATTTTACCCCTAGCATAGGCCATTTTTACCACTCGCATGCAGCATATTTTGCTACTTGCTACTCGCAATTTTGTACTCGCATATTGCATTTTTTCTAGGTGATACCTGAATGTAGAAAAGAATAGATGGCTCAATCACACACATTATTTTTTTTCTACGTTTGCCCCTATACCGCATCCACAGCCACGTTATCGCCTGATAACATGGCTGCACGTGGTACAGTTCGACCAATGAGAACGCGCCATTTCAACATTGGCAGTGCATTGTATTATAATGTATAAATAGCTTTTTAATTGGTCATTGGCTGTGATATTTGTACATTGGTTTCATTACACAAGTATAACACTACAATATCCTGTAAAAGCACATACTATTTACTAGCTTATTTACGAGTGAATTTCAGTCATGAACAATCCTTACATCGTGACTGACTGAGAGGAGTTCACTTTTTGTGACGTATGTCACTAGACAACGCAAAGACGTATGATCTCAAAGATGTGATTTGCTGAGTACACCGTGCATAAACACTACAATGGTGGTGGCACTAGTTACAGTGTGCACATGTTTTATAATTAAAGTATAGATGCAGGTTCGTTATTTTTTTTTTTTTTGCTTTTACTTAGCCAGAAAGTCTTGGCTAGATAGTGTTAACATTTCAGGGCTTTGTCGATGTTTGAATATACTCAAAAACGATTTTAAAATACAGAGAACCGAGGTTTGTTTACGTTGCTCTTTGATTGCCAAGTCACTTTTGATGTTATATGCAAATGAGTTGCTGGCCTCAGTTACGGTTTTAATCTGATCCAGTCTTTCTAGGAAAAATAGATATGACTGAGTCTCACAATTTTTTTAGCTCCGCTGTCGACTTTGTCGAGCGGAGCTTATCATATGAGTGATTGTCCGTCGTCGTCCGTCGTCCGTCGTCGTCGTCCGTCGTCCGTGTCAATGTTTTACTTTTTCGACTTCTTCTTGAAAACTACAAGCCTGAATGCTTTGATACTTGTTGTATATGTACCTTGGGTAGACCTCTCTTAGGTTTGTTCATTTCATGTTGATATCTTCAATTCTCTAATTTTAGTGAATATTTTCGTCATTTTTGGTAAAAAGTGATATTTTCGACTTCTTGTTAAAAACCGCAAGTCCAATTGCTTTGATACTACATATATAGGTACTACATGTGGATCTCTCTCAGATTTGTTCATTTCGTGATGATATCTTCAATTCTCTAATTTTGGTGAATATTTTTGTAATTTTTGGTAAAAAGTGATACTTTCGACTTCTTGTTAAAAACCAAAAGTTCAATTGCTTTGATATGACATATATAGATACCACATGTAGACCTTTCTCAGATTTGTTCATTTTGTGATGATATCTTCAGTTCTCTATTTATTTTGGTGAATATTTTTGTAATTTTTGGTAAAAAGTGATATTTTCGACTTCTTGTTAAAAACTGTAAGTCCGATTGTTTTGATACTATTCATATTGTTCATTTTCTAATGATGTTTTCAGTTCTTTAATTGAAATGTGCATTGCTAACAGCGGAGCTATCTCAGCCGATAGGCTGCTTGTTTATATTTGTGCACACTGTAACACTGTAACTGCAACTTTTACATTAGTTACTGATATTGTGCGTGCCCACCGTTTATATGTCTATGTAACAATTCACAATGAGCCAATACACCTCTTCAATGTTTATTCCCCCATTAATGGCAAGGAACGCATGCGCTTCGTTGATCAACTAAAGCAGCACCACAACAAAATGATAGATGATCATGTGATTGTAGGGGAGATTTCAATTGCACTTCATAACCGAACAGAGATCGCAATGGCGGATGTGAACCTGACATGCAAACTTCGCATTGTCTTAATTTATCGCAGCAACGTTTTAAGTTAACTGATGCATGGCGTCATCACCATGGCAACAAGACTAACCATACATGGGGACGTGTTAATACGCTAGGACGCCTTGCCAGGTTATATATATATGAACATATGCATAGTCATTCAAGGTAGAGATGCAGGTTCATGAGCACTTGGGAGTGAATTTTTCTTTTTGCTTTTGATTATCCAAACAGTCTTGGCTATAGACTGTTAAAATTTTGTAGAATTGTGAATAGTGAAACATACTCAAAAGACAATTTTAAAATATAGATAACAGGTGCAAACATTCTTTCTTTTGAATGCTTAGCAAGATTTAGCAAGGCTGTACATAAATAATAAAATAGAGACATGGTGAATAAAAGAAATGACGGGATCTCCATATTATGCACTATATTTAACTTCTTACAAAATGATAATACATTTAAATTTGGAACTGTTACAGCCATTTTAATTATGAGCATTAGCAAACGTCTTACTGAGTGAATTGCTATGCAACTTAGCAATTATCTCAGCTTCTTTTTAGTGCACATCCCAGAACTTTAAAACAAAATAGCTCCTAGACGCTTTGACCTTCTGTTTTGAAATTTTCACAAATGATTGACAATGTGTTTATCTTCAAAACGCCGTCGGGGCATTGTTTTTGGTTGAAAAGTGTTACAACAATCGTACAGACAACTAGCTTGGGTGTTAATTTATGCATAAACTTGAAGTAGTGAAATTTGAGCTGCTGCCCTGCAAAATTGACAACTGGTAGACAGTTTTCAAGACGACACTTTCTTCATAGTAAACAGATGGACCGTATACCAATTTTGACAGGAAACAGAAGCATGGTTTAGAAGTAATTTTTTTTTAAATCACTTTTGACGAAAAATGCACATTTTTGTGCATATTTCAAACTACAGTGTCCATAAAAAATACTAACAAAATATAAAAATTCATAAAACATACAGTTTTGTGGACAAGAGAGGTCATCTTGGTTTCCTAATTAACTAATTAAAATACCTGTAAGGTAAACTGAATCTCTACCTTAATATGTAATATGATGACTGTATGTATGTGTATATTCAGTTTCGTTTGGGGCAGGGGAATTCGAATGTACCCATATT